GAGCTTGCCAGCGCTACCCGCCCTACCCGCATGTGTGACACAGAGTGCAACATCAAAAGGTTTGCACGTGCACAGCACGTGCACCGTGTACCCAAGCACGCCTATTTATACAGCACCTTAAAGCGCGTGTCCATCAGTGTCAGTGTACCAAATTTGGTGTGCCTAGGTCAAGGTTTTCCGGAATCGGAGGATGCATCCTCAAAACATGTTTTTCGCCCCTGGCGCGTGCATTCCGCACCCCCTGCTGCCGAGCATACCATATGGTAATGGTCAAACACCGGGACATGTGACCTGTGAATTTGGCACCTGTGCCGTCCACGGTTTAATTTGGAGCGTCGCTTAAAGGTTTTTGCCCTTCCCGACTTTGTCGGCACGTGGCACGCGCTACGTGACACCGAATGACCTGTGTCATGCATCATCACCTGCCTCAAAGCATTACCCATCGAACGGTACCACCAGCATCTCGATCCGATCATCCGTTCATAGACGCAATTCCAATTGTAATGCTTCGATGACCTTTCAGAGCATGGGTTTTTGGCAACGTAAAATGGCGCCTTGTCGGCTTCACCTAAATGGAGGTGGTTGCGGGTCCAGTTTAATTATACGTCCGTGAATGTGCGCCAACCAGTTTTCTCAGTAATTCAGCTAGCAATGCTCGTGCTGTGTTCAAAAAGACGTTTACAGTGAGGGGCAAACTTAACCCTCTAGTGCCCCCGGTATCATATCTGTAAGTCAATTTGCAGAAAATTCGCCTGCTAATCATAGAGGTGAAAATTGTTGAAAACCCTGCTGTATCAGAAGTGGTACGTCTTGGCAACCACCTGGTGGCAAAATTTTTAAGTAATGATTTCTCAGTTTCCCACCAGGTGATTTTGAAGAGGGTCAGTTTGTCCTTTGCCGAAAATCAAATTGAGATGCAAGTGTAAATTTAAGCATTTTGAAAACAAAAAATTAGTTATTTGGAAAGAAACTTGGTATACTGTGAGACAAATGTTCAACATGTATCATAGTATGTTGCAAAACATCGCAACTTTTTCAGGGTCAAAGATATGGACCCCTATTTTTGGGGATACTAGATATGATACAGTGGGCATAGCACTCCAATATTTTCTATGAAATTTTTGCCGCTGCAACATACGGTGTGCCAATACCATAGTATTCTCAGGTGATAAGCATTGCAATGGCCTGTGAGTCATTGCAAATGACGATGGTACCTACAAGATGCATAAATTTGTGAAGTTCGCACATCTTGCGCCAGATAACTCTATTTCGCTCCAGACTTAAAATGTCATAACGATATTGGTACGCTTATGCCGCCTCTCATCCTTGTCAATCTTCCAACATCTAGCTTTCCATGAGTGGCCTTACATGCCTCATACATTTCGACTTTTCTAACGCTCATAGGAATATGGTTTTGCAACTGTTTGACGATGACAATAGTGAACTTTTTGATCTGCAGGACACTAGCAGACCATATCTTCTAAAACCACGTTAGGAATGACATGCTATCGATGACAAGCTTGTTGATTTCAAGGAACGATCATCCGTGCGAGCATTTACAAGAGACCGCGTGAAACTGTATACTCGTGAAACCAAAAATTGAGACTTGATGTTAGGGACAGGAGGATTCAGCGGTCTCTTGCACAATTTCGATATTCCAACAGGGGTTGTGGACGGGCTTATTTATGTCTTGTGGGTCTATGTGTTAGCTGGGCATGGCTGAAGACTTGCATTAGCAGCCAGCCAGCATTTTTCATTCATATTGGAGAACGACTCACAATTTGTTTGCGATTCAAATCTCCTCCGTTCATCCCAGTAGTAAGAGATTGAATGTGGAGTGGAAAACTATATCGTCATCTTCAGAGGAAGCTGGCTAAACGGGCTCGCCATGAAGACAGACTCCGGACCGAAGGCCGTGGTTCCTTTGATTTCCTATCTAAGAAGTAGGCAACCATGCACTGCTGCCAGGTTCCAGTAGGTGCCTGACACCTGGCAAGCATTTTCACTGCCAGGTATGTCATTTGTTGTCATATATTGACATAGACCGCCAACTGTGGTAGCTGAGGGCCACTGAACAAAAAGGATTTATAGGTACTAAAACATGGATACTACTTTTGTACTGACCACAAGAATAAAAGTTAAAGTGCGGCATTGCGTAATGCGTATGCTCACCTCCATATGAGGTCAATGAATATTGTGCAAGTTCCTGCCGATCGGTGCACAGTTACCTGTACCTTTGTTGTCTGACACGTACAACGGTTATTGCACTGGCCAGTGCGCGGCTGTTATACTGGCGCCGATGACATCAGGACCGCACGACCAGTCAAAGTACTAACTGACGATTCACAGGCTGAGAGTTTCAGTCACCCGAGATTGTCCGGCTATCATGAAGATAAACCAACATCGTCTTTGGCATTGATTCCGGTCCGTCGGCAGGCTGTCCAGCATTTTGCATCAGAACTGCTTCACTTCAACCACTTACCACGAGCCAACTGTAATGTCTTCATTTCTATATCAAGTATGCATAACGCATCTACGTTTGAGAAGCACGGCCCAAATGTCTGAATTATGAAAAAATTGCACAAGTGCAACGCGCTCTATCGTGGAAATTGAAGGAATAGAAGGCACTCGCAAATAGATGCCTATGATTAGCGTTGTTCCCTAAGCACCGACTGAAAGGACATTTTGATACAAGAAGGATGCCGATGAAATATTAAGAAAATGTTCTGATAAAAAGTGAACAGTAAAGGATGTCTTGTTGGCATTTTACACATTTTATCTGCCACTTTTATCACTGCAATTTTTAATAATATATATTTTCTCATCTATGTCTTCACTTCCTTCTGTTTGGTCTGATACCACTAAAAATTACCAAGTGGAATGCCCAATGTATCATATTTGATACAAAATTTATTTCCGAAATTTGAACTGCGAAAAAATATTTGACTCCAGATTTCGAACAAGGGACCCAAAATGAATCATATGTCACAAGGTGCTAATTTTAGGAACCGTGGAACTATGTGTGGGCATTAGAGGGTTAAGAAAAACGAGCTATAGTTATTAATGTGCTTCATTATTGGCATTCATAAATGGCCGACAAACCTGGGAAAACTTTTTTGCTTAACGAGTTTAACACACCCACCATTAATCGTTGTCATTAACCCTCGCCCGCACATGCCATTTTCCCATCCTAGAACGCACATGGGGGGGGGGGGGGGGGGGTTGCCACCCCCCCCGCGCCATTTCGTTCCTGTTGGAGATAGAGCTTAGCAGTAAAGACCAAAAAGATTCTTTGGGAAGAGACGAATCCAATGATACCCAGTTTTACCTTCTCAGGTCAGTCATTGACCTTCCAGGTCAGGTCAAACTTAAAAATGTTGCTGTTTTGGGTCACCGTTGGATATCAAGTGCGCTGCTTATCAAATACCGATGACGATGCTGTTTTCTGGTGCCAAGCCAGCTAGAACCTCTTTGTCACACTATCCGACCATAATTTTGCTGCTGAGGTCATTTCAGGTCAAGTTATGTCAAGGTCAATTATATGTGTTTGTATGTCTGTGTGTGTCTGTGTGTATACTGATGTGTGCACCGATTGTTTTTGGGTCCATATCACATGAAATCATGATCTGAGAAGCGTTTACCAAAAATGCAGTCAAAAAAACTTCACAAAAAGTAAATTCAGCTTGCCTAAAACGCAATTATCTAAGATGACCTAGGTTGACCTTGACCCTGACCTTGACCCCTGTACATCGTCGAACAACATGTTCCATGATAGGTGGGAGGTAAGACTGGCAAAAAAGGCCGAAATCAGGGTGTCAAAAGCTCACAAGGCCCATGGCAAACGCAAGATGTTGAGAATTGGCCATTTGGGTCATGACATGACCTGAAAAACAAGGTCATATCTCCGAAACCAAAGGTCACAGAAACTTGAAATTTTCAGTGGACATCAAGAAAGGATAGACGAGCAGCTATACGAAAAATCAGCCTTCTAGCTCTAAAAATGTTGAGTGCAGAGCAGAAAGACTGCCTGGGGGGGGGGTGGCAACCACCCCCCCATGTGCGGGCGAGGGTTAAATAAAATTCATTTTAGTGATCATAGGCGCGGGAGCCGGGGGGGGGGGAGGGCAGTCGGGTGCAGCTTGCTCCCTCCCCTCAACTCTGGGGCTGTGGGGGCGGTGCCCCCACAACTTTGAGACAGAATACCACACTTTTTTGCAAATGTTTTCTTTTTGTTGAAAATGCCAAAGGATGAAAAATAAGTGGCCTAAAACCGGTGAGAAAACTAGATTTGGGGGTACCCTAGGTTGATCTCTATTATGGTGTGCCCCCTCCCCCCCAGTCTGAAAGTAGTTCCAGCGCCCCTGCTAGTAATTGACGAAAAAAAGGCGCAGCCTTTCGCTAATTTAACGCTCCAAAGCAATTTCGTGACGTGCCCAGGGCCCTCAATTACTAAAAGGTGATATGTCTTCCTGTTTTTGTCCTTTACTTTGATGATTTTGTATGAGCTCGTTCGTAAGCTAAAAGCAGGGCACCTTCCTATAGGTCAAGGCTAAGTTGCTAAACGCCAAAGTACTCTCGTAGCAGTGCGCTATTTTACCGGCCAGCTCTCGCCTCCTAAGCCTGGATCTAAATCAATGAACTATAAACAGCCCCCTGTGCTGCAGTAAATGCTCTCACAGTCTGAGCCCCGTGGCAGAGTTGAAATACATCAGGCTACCGTAAACCGAGTCCGATATTGCTATCACAGGACATATTTCATTCACTATCCTGTTATAGTTTCTATGACTTGAAGTAGTAACAATGCCAACTCATACTTCTGGCAACATCAAACTATAAAAAATGCAAGGCATTGATAGCATTAAGTTGTAACTTGTAACGTTGGTCAAATAAAGAACAGGTCAAAGTACGGGAAACGAATATGAAATAGGGACTTCGACTGTCCTTCCATCAAAGTAGGAAATAAGGACGGTCAGAGACTTTTCCCGTATACTCCAACTCACCTCGCCCTTTGCTGGTCTTCTGATAGAGGCTGCCCTCGTAGATGTCGCGTGTGAGACCAAAGTCGGAGATCTTACAGACCTTGCCCTCTGCCAGAAGGACGTTACGGGCCGCCAGGTCACGGTGAACCAGCTGATGGTGAGAAAATGGGGGAGGGGTGATATTGGGGAGAGGGGTCAGACGAGGGGGAAGACATGTAAGAAAGTAAGAAAGGCGACAGGGTTGAAAAATGTAATAAGTTTGCGAACTGTGAAAAGGGATAATGTGAGAAAAGTGAGAGAGCAGTGAGCAAGAAAAGGCGAGAAAAGCGTTGGGAAGAGGGAAAGAGGAATGGAATGGAAAGGGAAATGGAAGGGAAGAGAAGTGGAGGGGAATGAAAAATGGATGACAGATGAGGGCATAGACTATAAGGCAAAACACCGGAGAGAAAGACGAACTGTACTGAGAACGAAAAAGAAAAAAAAAAACGTAAGAGGAAGTGCGAGGGAAAAATAGAGAAAACGCGATTAGAAAGTATACTTCGTCAATTATAACCAAAGCAATTTCATCAGCCCGTATTTCCCAGCGAACTTTGCAGCTATAATTATAGTTAGCAGCTCGCGAGTCCACTGCGCACGTGGCGACAATATTACATCAAACTACACAGCTAAAGTTACCGGCAAACACTTTCTTAGCTCATTTCAAGTACAAACTTTTGCTAATTGCTTGATCACTTTAATTATGCTAAAGTAGGAATGCCCGTCAATAGTTTCTCTGGCTACTTTGGCTTTCAGCGTGGCAGGCTAAATGTAAATCACAAATTCACAATTGGCAAGGCTAGACTGCTGATGTTACGCAAATCATCTGCTTACTGCTATGTGATTTCCTACCGTTTTACTAGGAAAACGGTAAAACTACCTACAGCGTTAACTGTCAATACGGCTACTGTTATGCTGACGATTTTATCAATTATCTCAGTTGTATAAACAAAGAAATGCACTCTTACAAACGATATCTGTAGCTATCGACCGTCGATCGCAATCTCGCTTGTAATGCCGTACAACGTTACTTGCAATCCAATACCAATCCCATCTCACTTTCCCGCCCCATTCTTACCTTCATTTCCACCAGGTAGGACATTCCTCGTGATATTTGCCACGCATAGCTGATAAGTTCTTTGGGTGTGATGGCACACGCGCTGTCTGTGTCACCGGACGCTAGCGTCGACTTACGGCTGTTACACAGGTATGTCCTGTGAATAGAGCAGCACAGCGTCAGATCGAGAACATGCGTGGCAGAGCAAGTATACTTTAGTGGGTGGGTAACAAATATAATCTGGGAAACGTATGAAGCAACCCAGTGTAAAGCGCCTGAATCAGCTGTGCACGTGTATTGATCTTGATCATTGCCAAATGTATATAGTTTGGAGAAAATCGAGATTAGCTGCGAGAATAATGATCTCGGGTATATTGAGCATTATATAAAGGCACGTGCATCACAAGCGGTTTCGCTTTTAACCCGCGCCCCACTGGGGTCTGTGTATAACACGCCCTACTGGGGGGGGGGGGCTATTCATAGCCCCCCCTCCTAACTCCGAAACTACTGGGCCGATCGTCAAAATTCAAACGGCGTCTGATAGCCCCGGAAAAACTGTCGAGCGAAACCTAATTTCATTGACCTCGAGGTCACCGATGACGTCACAGGTCAGGTCAAAGTAAAAATTATTAGCACTTTGGCTCGTTCACATTTTGGGCTCTGGCCGCCGTCTTACAAGTCAGATCAGGCTCATTTTTGGTTTCCATACTCGTGAACAGATGCTCTAGATACCTTGAGGGTACCAAACTTGTACTTTGATTTTCAGGTCAGGGTCAGGTCATCACAGGTCACGAAAATATTATATCATGCGTCGGTCACGTGACACATGTTTTATGGTCCATTTAGGCCATAGATTTCGAATTTGATGTCGTCTGTGTCATTCGAGGTCATTTTGAGTCGAATTTAGCTTAGGTCAGGTCACTTTCAGGTCAAAAAAGGTCAAATTTTGAAGTTAAAATTTTTCAACAAAAAAGGTGTCTATTAGATGCAGTTTGAGCTCAGGAACACGATGGTGCCATTTATATTGGTGTACGATGTCAAATACGTACTGAAAAATTGATTTGAAAAATTAATAATTGTGAATTTTTTGCAATAATGCGTATAACTTGGCCATTTTTGAAGATATTTAGCTAAAACTTGCTAGAGTTAGTCATAATCATGCGTTCTGTCACATATATTCCGGTTTTTTGGAAAAGTCAAAAACTTTTTGAAAAAAATGTAAAAATATAAATTTTGAATATTATTATATAAGATTTTCGAAATTTTCAAAATTTTGAAAATCCGAGATAGCAGTTTGGTAGCGCGGTCAATTCTGAGTCCTTTCATGCAAAGAAATTGGATCTAGCTTAAAAACTGAGCTCTTGGGAGCGATTGCCGTGGTTCAATGTTTTGCGTCGAAATCGGACGAACATGACGTCACTCTGACGTCATTTCCGGCCGACCTATGGTAGCTACGAAGTTCAAATTTTGACACAAGGTGTCAAATTGATGCAGCCGAAGGTACTGAAAGTTTGGCGTCGATCCGTCAAGCGGTTTGGAAGTTATTGCAGAAAAACGGGAGGGGGGGCTATAAATAGCCCCCCCCCCAGTGGGGCGCGGGTTAAATGAGTTCTTTCTCAGCCGTTTGCCAGACTACAGCTAGCGACTATTTACCGTCTAAATGAAGCCGAACAGACACATAAATCATTGCAATGGGTTCATAACCGTAACCATAACAATCATCTATGATAGTTCATTGGCAGTGGACGCTCACTCCTGATCTACTCCTTATAGAGTGACGCACACAAAACGGGCCTCTTCATCGTTATACGAATCCCGATTTCATTTGTGATGCAAATTTCACAGAGGTAAGATAAAGGGATAGAGCTATTCATAAGGGATGTTACTCAATAAATCATATCTAACGTCATACGCTAAGCTCTAGCTTCTCATTCAAATGAATAAATGATTTAGGCATGAAACGGCATTGTTGAGCTCTTTTACCCACAAGACGTTTCAAACTATTTAAAGAGTGGAATTCATTTCGAATATGATACTGCAATGTCATAACAAGAAACTTAATAACTAAAACCACTCTTTAGCTACCGAGTATAACCGCTTTCAAGGCACACTTTTTAAACCGTCGCTACCGAATAATGAACATCCTGCTGTGTGTCTTGAGGGCGTACTTGCATATTCAAATAAGAATTCAGCATTCAATGTTTTCACAGGACAAAGAGCATTATTGAAGCTCAGAGTGGAATAAATGGTTCAAGACTAACGTCCTGTATGTAAACACCGCTACTTCATTACGCCTTAGACAGACCTTTGTAAGAAACCGCCTTTTACAATCCGCTTTGCACTAGTTTATACCGTTCTGGTAAATACCGAGCTGGCGCTTTTTGTTCGTGGAACTGAATGAATAAAACATTTGTGTGCAATTTAGCATTATAAATAGGCGATTTTTAATGCTTTATTACGCCTTTTGCACGATTCAGAGAGCAAAGCGTCTAAACAGCGTAAACTCGGATATTTTATGCTATCGCCAACTTTTCAACCAGACTCGCCTTGTTCAATATGGACGAAGCCTTGTTCAGTTCACAGTCGAATAGTCAACAATGCAAATTACAAACAAATTTCGAAGTGCATAATTCTAAAGCACTAAGCAGCAATGTTTTCAGGCAAACCCTAACGCGGTTACCAGGACCTATGTTCAATACACACATTGAAGTCCGGAAAGCAGCAATAATTCATAAATGAACAGGCATTGCAGGTGCACCAATTTGTTAGTCCAAAGGCTGCTTCAACCATTCAGGCTCATTTCGAGCAGTTAAAGCATTGAAGCATACATACAAGCTAATGGCAGCTTTTCGACCCAGTGTCTTCCAGGAACCCTAGTCCCTAAGAACCACCACATTATAGGTAAGTAAGTACACATAGCATTACATCCAACCGTCACTATTCTTCGTTTTATCCCACACCTCAACCTTCCCCCAACCCACCTCAGACAGCCGAGTTCCGCAAACTCCATGATGATGCAGACAGGTCCTCCGGGCCCCGTGCACGCCCCCAGCAGACGGATTACGTTGGGATGGTTGACCTCCTTCAGCAGATTGTACTCGGACAGCAGGTCCTGCAACTCGGCAGTGGTGCTGGAGGGCTTCAACATCTTCACCGCTACCTGGCGGCAACCTGGTGGGGCAGGGGAAAGAGTGGTGAGACAGGTGGATTGATTTGCCTCAGGAAGTGATGGAAGGGAAAAGTAACTAGTGAGCAAAATGGTTAAACGTTTATTGTGAAGATATGTAGGACTGCGTGGGAAGTTCCGAAACAAGGAAGAGCGCAGAAATTGCTTGCGGGGTAAAAGAAAAAGAATTAAAAGACTGACCGACAACAACAATACAACACTGACACGAGGCACACCGAACCTATACATGTTTTTGCACACACCACCTCCCACCCACCAAAAGAAACACAAACATAAATCTGGCCAGCATGCCAACCGGACTCGCCCCAAACCAAGCAGACCAACCCAAATCCTGGACAAGCCACCTGTCTCCTTTCCCGCCGTTTCTGTCAACACTAGAGAGTAGCGGTGGTGGGAAGCCGGGAAACACCCAGTGGTAGGTGACAGCTGACAGGTGACAGCCCACGACTGTCCAGGTGACAGGCGGCTGTGGCGGATCAACCTGCCAACATCCGCGGCCAAAACCAGCGACTGCCGAGGCCTGAGCTGACAGGTCACAGCCCCTGAGCTGACGGGGAGTCGGGCGTTACGAAACGCCAACAGAGGTGCAGGAGGCGTGGGGGGGGGGGAGGCAACATAAGCGTAGGGGTTGCTGAAATGCCTGGATAAGGATTGGTGGGTCTGCTAGTGATGGTCAGAAACGGGGAGGAGGAGGGTGGAAAGAAAAGATAAGGGGCGATGGAAGGGAGAGAGAAGGGAGAGAGAACGGAAAGAGAGAGAGAGAGAGAGAGGGAGAGAGAGAGAGAGAAGGAGAGAGAGAGAGAGAGGGAGAGAGAGAGAGAGACCGAGAGAGAGAGAGAGAGAGAGAGAGAGAGAGAGAGAGAGAGAGAGAGAGAGAGAGAGAGAGAGAGAGAGAGAGAGAGAGAGAGAGAGAGAGGCGGGGAGGCGAAAGCGAAAAGAAAAGCAAAAGGTGAGAACGTAGATCACGGCATTGGGACAAAGAATAACAGAAAAAAGTAAAATACGTGCAAATATTCACGAAATATTCTAACTTCTACGATAGGAAGTTTCGTTTTTCCAATCCATGGCGCAGCTAGACGCAGCCCAGGACAGGAAGCCGTGTCCATGCGATAACGCAGTACGCCAGCTGCGCCACAGTCTCATTGGCTCATTGCCGCTGTCGGTTCTGACGTCACACCCTCAAAAGTGGTCTCGTTACGTAGCAGGGCACTACGCTGTTCGCTAGAGCGGACCTCGTCCGTCTCCCAAGCTGTCCAGCACGGCACGGCCGGCCATTTTCGAGACTGTCCAAAGGCAGATGACTCGTTTTGAATGCGTCTTCTTGTCTTCGCCTGTATTCAATCTCCCGGTTAGACGGCACCGTGACGCCACATTGCACGAGGATGGATAAGAAAGGCGGCTCGGTGGTTGGCCATTTTCCAGCGGCCTCCAAGGTCTCAGAATAAATTTGACACTACAAATACTTTGAAATGTAAATTCAGCTTCCGGCTGGCGACATATCAATGGGGAGGGGCTGAGATAGGCCCAACATGAGAGGCAATCCAGGCCCGATTCAGAGTAAGACGGCTGGGCGGAATGATAGTGGACTACGATCGTCGCAGATAAGTGAAAGATCATTGCAGTGAGGAGGCTCCTTCATTCACCCGTAGCTTCTCGGATTTATTTAGTATTCACAGTCGACGGAAACACTGCATTAGAGCATATGAGTTTGTTCTGAGGTTTTGATCAGGCAGGAATCACACTGGTTAAATGGGTCCCAGCGTCTAAATGCGTCCTGTAAAACGGTGAGCTGCTTATCCGTCTACAAACGTCACGCTACGGCTAACCGGAAAGATTATTTTCTATTTTTAGACTTCTTTAGTCGCTCGATTTTCAGAGCTTTAACCCTCGCCGGCCGAGGGGGGGGGGGGCGGGTGCCGCCCCCCCATAGGGTTTTTTCGCGATAGCTCCGAACACGATGGCGATAGAAAGCTGAAACTTGGCATACCTGACCTTTGATCCAAGCCGCATCTTATGACACCAACCGCATTTTTGGGTCAGGTCAGGTCACTGACCTATGACGTCATAAGTGAACCTCTGCACGGTCTTCAGATGTCGCAACTTCGCAACGCCCTCACTGCCAGAGGAGATGTCACAGGGAAATGAAACTTGCAGGATCTAGTATCCATTATGAGTCTCACAACTTGTATATCTCGGATTTTTCCTAATGGTCATATGAGGTCAGGTCATTTTCGTGACCTCACCATTATAAGTCAATGGGGAAAAATTCAAACTGCTATTCTGGCGCCGGGAACGATCTCCAACTATCTCAAGCACACAGAATCGTGATTTGATGCACTCCTTGCAAGGTTAGATGCGTCACTTTTGCAATGTTGACCTTGCGTCGTCATCAAGGTCATATTAGTTTTTCGTCAATAACTCTTGATCAAATTGAGCTAGCGAGTCGGGAAAGCCACCAATGGACTCAGGAAGACCTGCCGAATCGAATGATATGCGACATGACCCCTTTCGACCAACTTCGTGACCTTAGGGTGCTGACCTGACCTTGACCTGAGGTCAACACCCCAAGTTGACCTGACCCGAACAAAAAGTATATCATTCGACGCGCCTGAGCGAGGCGAACACGATGCTGCCAAAATTGCGGCTCTGCGGCCATTTTTTGCGAAGTTATTCACCAAAAACTGAACCGTACCTTGGGGCACTTGACCTGACCTCAGAGGTCACCGGTTGACCTAGGACCTTAAATTCGGGTACCAATCTCTGCGTCTCGTAACGGCGCACACGCTCGTTTTTTCCGCGACGCGCTAGCTCCACCAGGGGCGAAACGGCGAGGGGGGGGGGTCGTACCCGCCCCCCCCTCGGCCGGCGCGTATGTAGAAAACCAATAGGTCCGGCGAGGGTTAAGAGGCCATTGAAACGTTTGTTGCTAGCTTTCAAGATAGCGATTCAGTAACTGCCTCGAAGCATGCAAGACATTTCAGAAAGATAGTGTTAAGTCATTCGAAGTTACTTCGTAGCATGCAAGTCATTTGAGAATGATTGTGCTAAATCAATGGCATTGTCATTGAACCTGTTCAGCGATTAGAGAACTCTTCAACCTTACTTTATACTACAACCCATGTCACATAAAACCTACATTCCATCGCATTTGATTCAGCCAACATTTATCAAGCATTTCTTCAGGCACTGAAACATCAACTCACCGGAATCACCAGCGATACCCATGGCCTGTCCTTTGAGCACCTTCCCAAACTCGCCCTCTCCAAGGAGTTCTCCCAGCACGAGCCTGCGCCGCGGAAACTCCCATTTGTCGTCCACCTGAGAACACGCAAACGGACGAAAGGGGGCGGTTTGAATAGTGTATTGGTTGGTTGATGCATGTGTTACAGTGGGATGTAGGTAATAGGTATGTGTATGTGTTACAGTGTGATATATGTGTTACAAAGCTGGCGAAAGAATGCATCCCTGAATAACTACTGGCACTACCTATAAAGCATAAACGAGCAGCCTTGTAAAAACTACGGGCGCAAGTAATTCATTAAACATATGATACAGGTCCGAAATGGAACATAATTTATACGATTAGATTAGTCTCGTGTCAATATAGTTGGTATTTCTGGCATTTTTTCGTCTCGAGCGGTGCGCGGGCTATATCATTCCGCTCAATATTTCGGTAAATCCATAAACTGTGCCATAAACACTGGCAGTGGCGCCGCTAATCTCGGTTAAATTAACAAATTATCAACCATTAGAACAGCTGAAGTCGTCTCATAAATAGGAGATTATAACCCAGCCAGTTCTCTCGTTATAGCACCGAGGGAGCCCCAACTTCTGATGAACTTTTAATGAAACGCCAGCCCACAACGCCGCCACCAAAAAGCTAAATCAGGCTATGTGTGCCACTTTACAGAGCGCCGCCGATGCATATCTTTCCGTTCTTTAATGCACATCGCTAGCCTTATTAGGGAAGAGACACCGGTTGCCATGACGACGCCATAACAGGCCTCGGCGCGTGCCACATCGCCAAACAGACCGTCGCCGGGCGGACCTTCAACGGCGCATCTATTATTCACACCGGTATCAGCTACCTGTGTCGACTTTCGTGACGACGGGTCGGAGCTCTGCAGCCTTTCAGGGCGAGCTCGTCTGTTTGAAAAACGATTTGGAGGCGGCGACCGTGACTGAACTGAGGATTTTCGTGAGTCACGGTATCATAAGAGACAAATGGCGTGAGGTAATTGGCGTGAGACAGTTCGTGAGACACCTCGTGATGCAGCTCGTGAGGCAGTTCACGGGGCAGCTGGATTGAGCCAGCTGGGTCGGTTTCCGGCGGATACTATACTGGCTAGGAGTGAGGCGCTGCTCGACTGATCGTTCTGGGTAAGCAGCCCGCGGATCGGAGCGTCGGCCTCTGCGCTGCACGGTCTGAGGTCAACTGGGCTCCCCAGCCAGCCCGAGCCGAGATTTGGTAGTCAAACGACCTAACGCTATTTCAGGCACCAGCGATCAAGTATCGGAGCTATAAGGAGTTGATTGTAAGGTGACGAAATTGGGGACAAATTGCACCAGCAGGCGCGTGCAAAAATAGATACCGTGTCTTCTCGTTCTGATGGAAGCGTCTCGAACCGAAGTTCAAAGCGAACGACTATGATGAGCAAGTTTGCGCTAACTTTGAAGCCAGACGAGGTATTAAGCAGCGATGTGGTGCAGAATGATTGGGCACGTGAGTTGGGTGGCAATGAAAGTTCAAAATAGTGTTATTTTTAGATGTTTTTTATAGTAAGTACGCTTTGATATGCTGAACGGCCGGTATCGCACAAAAAAAAACTACATTTATGCAGATACCCAAAGCGCGTGCTGAATGTATCTTTATTGCAGAGCTTCTTTTTGCACTAAATTAGTTTGACAATCATATTTGTCACTTTTTACAAATACAGAAGGCAAAGTAAAATGATGTAAAGTTACAGCGTTTTATACGGAAAGTGATTTACCTGTCCAACTAACCCCATCGCTCTGCTCAATCATTGCATCATGCTTTTCACGTAATAATAACCATGTTATCGTTAAACTTAGTACATCGCTAACTACTTCTCATCAAACCCCAAACTATACCCCGGCCGGACGGATTCAAAGTTTGACCCGACTGCCGCCTGGGGTCCTTTATCTACATCAGCGATCAATCGGGTCAATCGCGAAATTAACTGAAGACGCACTGAGAAAAAAAATGACTCTAGGGAGACCAAAAATGACTCGGTTCCTTTTTTGTACCCGCGCCTAGAGTCAAATTACTACTCATTTGATACTGGAATGTAGAGTAAATTTGCACTGTATAAGAGAGTCTTAAAACACCAGAGGGTGTCATGCGACTCTTCCACGAGTCACGCGACACGTTATAATGAATCGGATTTTGACTCTTTGATTCAGTGTGTGTTTTATGACGACACCCATGCTAGTCATTTGACTCTGCCCGCTCAACGCCTGCGCCTCGAGTCAAGCGACACTAGGTCGTCGTGTACTATGAAACCGTGTTTGGCACTAACAACGCCCATATATTGACTCCTGTAGCGGGGGTAAAATTGCGATAGTATGTAGCAATATCGTGATTTTCCCCGACAGCGAAACTAAATGGACATTGTCAATGTCACAAACTGCGTGGCGGCTGCATCGTTCCACTCTTCTAGTTAAACAAGCTGGTCCTTGTAGGAATATATTAAAGGAGCACGGTCGCCAGGTTGTCCTGCAGAACCTACCATGCACACAGCCAATTAAACACTTCAAAAACATTCGAAAGTAACCCCGAAAAGGCAGACTCTGGGCCTAACCATCGCGCAAACCAGCGCTCTACATCTCACACACGCAATGTCCGAATGCCAGGCATGCCCCTTTGGTCCGAGCCTGCATGAGGAATTACTCACATCTCAACAATGTTCCATCAACCGGCGATTATCGCTACTCAGACGTTATTCTACAATTGAATAACATAAAACTTGCTTCCGTTTCCATGGTGCGCTGCTTTCTTCTCCTCTCTTGAAAATTTCACCGAGTGCAGGGCGCCTCGTTATTTGAATACACATGATGAGCAAACTACAAATAAAAACTGAAGTTTATCGTTAACGCACTATCACTTGAAATAAAACAACACTTCAAACAACGTTTGGCGACATAACAAGCGCGTAAATTCAAATAAATTCCTCTCCTAGCTCACACCACACGCACGCACGTGGCCACACCGCCGGCAACTGAAGCGCCAACGGCTTTCCTAACGGTTTTTCTGCAAGGTCGAGCTATTTTATCTTCGTGGCGGACCGGCATGGCCAGCACACAAATGACGTCACACGACAATGCAGCTTGCTGATTGGGCATTGACTTAAACCACTGGACCTGATCTGTGGTTCCCACCAGGGTTACGGAGTCAAAGTCAGAGTCGGTTGGAGTCGACAGTTCTGGCTGGAGTCAGAGTCAGAGTCGATTTTGGAAGCCGGAGCTGGAGTCGAAGTCTGAGTCACCGAAAATCCATTGATTTCGCGGTCTTGACTCCTACCACCAGTGACGTCAAAACAATTTCTCTTGTGATTTAGGGTTTAAAATTTAACGCATTTCATGACTCTTACTGGAATGTTCCCTACACCCGGTAGTACCTTTGCTGAACACTCTTGAAGGTGTCTGACATCGTGGCAAATTGTCAATATCAACAATGATACCCCCGTGTCATTCACACTCACTCGCTTATTAGGTGTAATTTGACCCTCAGTGGTGCCATAATATTCTAGTGTCATTTGAACCCAATGGGGCTCAAATGACACCGGAATATTATGACACTTATGAGGGTCAAATTACACCCAATAAGTCATTTGAACGGAATATTATGACACCACTGAGAACCAAATTACACCTAATAAGGGAGTCACGGATTGCGAAAACGCTCAACTGTGTGAAATGACACCCATAGGATATAAAAACTCCTGGACGGACACTGTTGGACACTGTTTTTCAGAATCGGATTACAACATGGATGTCAGTTGATTCCCAAATCCCAAATAGGGGATCGTTATTCCCGGGGGGACTAATTATTTTAATCCGTGTGAAGAATCCACGTTAAGTTCTATTTTCTAACCACCGCATGCAGCCTCTCTTTTCGTAACGCTTCTATACAACGAAGCATGCATCATTGTGCCAACCACATGGCCTTGCCATGAGTTGAGTACCTATACCATATTTTAACTCTTCGTCAAAAGTTTTTGAGTGACACTGTAAATACGAATAAAAGAATAGGGTCATCTGATGGAAGTTAAGTGACTCTTAATGCGACACCGTAAGGAGTCAATCACCTCTGAATATTCATAGAGTCATAATAAAAAGTGACACTAAAAAATGGGTTATGACTCCCAAACATGGTGCAGACGACTCTGTAGAGAGTCATTTGTATCCGCCAATAGGGTGTCAGTTTAAGGGAGTCAAATGACTCTTCGTTAGATGACACTACATAGAGTCAATTACAGAGTCGAAATGTTTTGTGACACTATAAAAAGGAATCATGACTCCTAAACTTGGTGTCACTGACTCTATAAAGAGTGATTTTTTCTCTCCGTGCGCTGCGAATTGCAGAGACCAACGTCAATGCTTCGCGGACTGCAGCGGCGCAGGGCAGGATAAATTTGAAAGTGGCCTGAAATGGGGAACCGAGGACACCAGCAGAAATATTGGTCGGATTAGACCAATATTTGTCTCCTTATGTCTGTTTGTCTCCTTATGTCTGTTAATCTCTTTATGTTTACGCTCTCACTGTCTATCTGCCCGTATGTGTGTCCGGACACTGAGAGTCAAAATACATGAAAAATAATGGAGTGAACTGACACGATTGTGACGTAAAACGTACCCACACACACCGGGCTACAGCCACCTTTCACCTTCACCCCAGTGGGGGGGGGGGCATATGTTACCACCCTGTCGCGTTTTTCGCGTGTGAATAAAAAACCGCGGCGCGAAGCGCCGCGCCGCTTGGGGTAGCTATTGGTACATCAATTTTGGACAATGTGTGAATTTTTTGACCCCAGGTCATGTCAGGCCAGGTCACCAGGTCAAGTTAACTGACCAGGCCTCAAAAAGTTTGCAATCATGTCCAGCCTGCAGTGTTTGTCAGAAAGGTTTTAACCCGCGCACCGACGGGGGGGGGGCGGATATCCGCCCCCCTGAGGTTTTTCGCGGATAGCGGGAAAACCGCGGCGCGTAGCGCCGCAAAATTTGGTATGACTATTCTCTCATCAATTTTACACATGGTGTGCAAGTTTGAACCTCCTAACTTTCAAGGTCAGGTCACC